TTGTCTCGTGATAGAAATAATCGAAGATCATGGAAAATTCGCATTCGCGTCGAACTGAATTATTCTTTACTATTTCGGTATGCAACATGTCTTCATACTGGCTATATACTTACAACGTCTATCTTTTAGTATGGTCTAGTTTTTAGTATGGAGACATAACCCGATCGGGATGTACTCCCAATCGGGATATATATCCCGATTGTGATATCAAGAAAATTTATATCCCAATCAGGATATAAAGAATTTTAATTTTTAATTTGTAAGAAAATGATAAATTTTAATTATATGACAGCTGAATATTCTTCTCCTTCTTCTTTATTTATTTTAAAAATTTTTTGTTGGTTGATGTAATTTCTTACTTCCACATTAACATGTTTCTCATCAAATCTAATTAGTTTAAAAGGAGTGCTGCCGTGCCAGGCAGTATGAGTATAAATGCCGCAACGCCTGGAATGATGATGTTCTCTTGGCATCTTCAGAAATGCTGGCTTCACGACTGATATACGTTTTAAAAGATACAGCAAGTTGTGATTCACTTATAAAAACCATAAGGCAGTTTATCTGCAAGAACGGATAGTTAGAAAATTCCCCGTTAAACACAAAGCACGTATATTTATATATTGTCGGCGCATGAGAAAAGAATTGTTTCGATATATGTGGGCATCGACAAGGAAGAAATAAAAAAACACGGTCGACGTGGAAAGCGATTAGATCAAGAGTATATCCCATTATGAGCAATAAAAGATTAACAGCCTATTTCCCAATCGGGATATAAATTCGACTAAAATTTCTTAAAAATTTGTATTCGAAAAAATAGTTGCTGAGTGCTTGATACACTTTTGATCAAACACAACAGAATCCGATGTAGTTTTTCAAGCTCTTTCTAATGGTGAAGTCAATTTTACCCGAAAATGTCGTAATTTTCCCCTTAATCGTTTTTACGACGAAATTTCGTGTTTTATATCCCTGTTTGTTTTTTAACTTTTGTATTTTGAAATTTCGGTTCGGAAATCGAGTTGCAATGCACACAATTCACGACTTCGAAAACTCCAAATTTCAGAACAGTAAATCACACTTTAACTCACTGAAAAGCTTACCACAAGAAAGAGCGTAAAAAATTACACCTAGCAAAGCAATTTTTATCTTGTATCTGTCGAAAAAATCCCATCTATATGATTGCGTATGATTGGGCACCATTGTAATCGTTAAAAGTAACACCATTAACATCACAATTACAATATGAAGTTATTTTGAAGTCTTAGGTAAAGCTAATTTTAATGATGGATTAACAATTATTCAGCTAAAAGAAATTGTGCCGCCATATCTGTTGTTACAACCACCATTCAATGTACAAGAAAATTCGACCGTTCTTTTCGCTCAACATTCTGAAAAAGTCAACACACGTTCACTAAGCATAAATAGCACACGTTCTGCTGCACTCGACGATGCTCTTCAACAACTGAGATCAAGTTCGAACGATATCGATTTAGGGAATAAAAAGTTTTCGCTCGATGATATCAAAATAATTTCGGAAGAACTTAAGAAAAATACTACAGTAAACACTCTCAAATTGTACTCTAACGAAATATCGGATGAGGGAGTTGTCTTTATTGCGGAGATACTGAAATCAAATTCTACGCTAACTGAGATTAATTTGTCTCGCAACAATATTTCGTTTAAAGGGGCGAAAGCAATTGGTGCCACTTTAATAGTGAATAAGTCGTTAACTGATCTATATCTTCGGGAAAATCGAATATCCGACGCTGGTACTAGTGAAATATTCAATGCGCTCAAAGTCAATAAAAGACTGAAACGTTTAAATGTTGGCAATAATGAAATATCAACAGAAGGAGCAAAAGTATAGCTGAAGCATTAAAGATGAATTCAACGTTATGTGAGTTAACTCTCAATCGTAACAAAATTTCGGATGATGGTGCTATTGCAATTGGAGACGCATTGAAGAAAAACTTGGGCATCAATCAGATTAACGTTCAAGACAATGGAATAACCGATACTGGCGCAATGGCACTCGCAGAAGGCATCGCTTTGCATACAAAACGATTCGAATTATTTGCCATTCGAATTGGTAATGAAGTCTTCGATAAAGGCATGAAAGCAATCGAAAAAGCGCTCGATATGAACTCACAGAAGTCCTTTGGACAAATCTAAACCATGATCCATGATTGTAGGTTTCCACTCAAGCGAACTAATAGATTCTATTTTTGTGAAAAACGCATACACTCCAGAAATTCAATTAAGTGAAGATAATACTTTTTTCTTTTTGACACTCCAAAATTCCAAACTATAAAATTGTAAAATACAGACTAGAGACTGTCACAAATGTAGGGCAACTTTTCATAAAAAACGCCGTTGCTGGGATTCGAACTCGGTATCTTATTAAACGAAACAAGCTCTGGGTATTAGATTACATTCGGTAAAGCCTCTACATCCTAGCATTCTACAATCATACGAAGAAATCTGCTATTTATAGTTTGGAAAATTCACATTCGCCGAGAATTTGATTTTCTAAAAACTGAATTCGCATTAGCTGGGAATTCATTTCGGTATGCCATGGACGATAATCATTGATGGTTTTTTTCTAGAGTAGGATACACCACTAAGCATTCAATGCATAGAGATGTATATGATGTGTTTGCGAGTTTTCTATTATTTTCTGACTAGTTCAGGTCACCATATAGATTTCTTATAATCTTTTTTATATGTATTCAAACAATCAAATACTGGTAGTCCCTAAATTTTTTATTTATGTATTTCTTACTTCGGATGCTTATCCTTCTAAACATATACCTGGAGAGGTCGACGTGGAGGTGTGTGTGTTGGGGGTGGGGCAAAGATGCCACGCGAGTAAGTCGCGATTCTTACCTGGCCTAGATGGTATCTGAACTAGTGAGAGAAAAGATAGACGTTGTAAGTATATAGCCAGTATGAAGACATGTTGCATACCGAAATAGTAAAGAATAATTCAGTTCGACGCGAATGCGAATTTTCCATGATCTTCGATTATTTCTATCACGAGACAAAGGAATACGAAGAAGCGTTGGAATTTTTATCAAGTGCACTTCCGGGATAGAGGAGACAATTCTGCATCTAACTATGTAAACAGCAAAGTTGGGCAAGTCACGGGTTTTCCAAGTCACAAGTCAAGTCATCAAACATTTTCTTAAGTCAAGTCATGAGGAATAAAAAAATTTCTCCAGTAAGGTCAAGTCACAAGTCATGACGTGAAATTTTTTTTCCCGTAGAAAAATGCTCAAAGCGGAGCTGGGTAAGTTAGTGGTTTTCTATGAGCTTCGGCTTTTTGTTTAGATGCGATGTTTGTTTTTCGTATTTCAAAAGATAATCGTAAAAAAATTGTTTTTGGTCTTGCGATGACTTCATTATGAATTGTTCAAGTCAAGTCACGAATCATCAAAAATTTCCCAGGTCAAGTCAAGTCAAAAATGACTTGACTTGTCCAGCTCTGGTAAATAGTTTTCAAAACGAATTTAGTTTGACTTAATTACAATGATAAAAATCAGAGGCGTACTCGATTCTTTTGCGTTCTTGCGTGTTCTCAAATATGTCAGTCGAGCTATTTTTTGCTCCTATTGATGGCAGGTCCAGTCAAATACACGGCGTTTTTTACACCTTCGAAAAACAGTTTTGATAGTAACGTTCATCTGTTTAGACTCACTTTATATGAGCATGTAGCGTTTTCTGAGGACAGGTAAAAGCGCCATGTATTTGAATAGGAACAAAAAATCGCTTGACTGCCATATTTGAGAACAGTTCCTATTTATGGCAGGCTATTTAGTTTGCTGTGCAGTGCAGACGAAGGTGAAAACTCGACTTATTTTCAATAAAAGTAGATCCATTCAATTCCTCGTGACCAGAGGAACATTTCTATATATTTTACTTTTAAAAAATTTTAACTTTGTCCGTTAGAAAATTGTTTTTTTTGAAAGTGTAAACAACGCCATGTATTTGAATGGCCTGCCATCAATAGGAACAAAAAATAGCTCGACTGGCGAGGGGTGGCAAAATATATGCATCTAGTATAAAGTCGATACATCAAGATGTGAAGATAGAAGCGGCTCACTCTCAACTTCTCCTCCCCCCTCCACCTCTTGACAAAGAAGTATTAAAGAAGTTTTACGCAGGATTTTTCATGTCATTAGAGAATCTTTATGGCGAGACTTGATTGTATCATGTTCTCGAAGAAAAGTCCAAGTAAAACATGATGTAGTCAGGGCTGAAAGAGGATATTCGAATATGCAAGACGCGAGGGCAGATTATGTGTGATCTTTCTTCTACCCATCGTCTGCTCTTTGCTTTTTTGAAGAGCTTGTTTACAGTTGTTCTTCGATATTTATATCTCGTATGATATCTTTACTTTTCTTACTTTGTTTGTATTTGGCTTGAGTCATTGTTATTATGAGTCGAGACCTTTGATGACGCTCACTTTTCGTAAATAAAATAAATTAAATCAATAAATCTCATTAATAAATCAGCAACTACAATTATCTGGTTATTGCACGATGTTTTATCCGGTTTTTTCTTCGGGAACATGGCGCAAAGAGGTGAAATGTTTAGAGTATGTAGCGGTGAGAGTTAGTATGATCGAGAAAAACTCAAAAAACTGATTACATCATGTTCTCGAAAAAAGTCCGAGTGAAACATGGTGTAATCGCCTGTCATCGTGACAGTCTAAGTTAGGCAAGTATTGGAAAATAGTAAAAAAATTGCTGGTTCTTTTTAATCTTAATTCTTAGGTTTTGAAGGTTTTTGGGACTTGATAGGGCTTGTCTTGATATGAGCTTTAGCAGTACGCGAAGTACCTTTGTGTTGATGTCTTGGTGCCTCAAAATACTTTTTTGCCCCAAACCTCTTTTTGAGATCCTGCTTCATCGAGAAAGTCCACGAATTTTCATCTGGTCTGTCAAATGCAACTGAAATTAAAGTTTCGAAGTTCTTAGTTTATTCGAAAATTAAATTTGAAATTTTTTGAAATTTCGAAAAAAATGAGGATATCTCTGAAGGTGTGTTTCCGCTGACTAAAAGTATGAAATTTAGATTGAGCACAAAGTTTTGTATAAGATAGTATAATTTATTAATAAGGTTCGGAGAACTTCATTTGAAAAAGTCCAAAAGTGAAATGTTACAAAACTTCTGCAAAAGATATTTTAACAAATATATATAGAAAGAGAATACTTTCAGTAAGGACGTTCGTGGCCTACGCAGGTCAATGAATCCTATGTAGGATCCTACAAGATCCTGTGGGATCCTACAGATGATAGGATATCATAGGGTTCCTATAGGAATCTTATGAATTTCCTATACAAATCCTATTATAAGATCTTATATGAATCTTACCATAGGATCGCAACGAAAATCCTACAAGAATTTTTACTGTAGCATTCCTATAAAATTCTATGAAATCCTCCGATAGGATTTCATAGGATTCTTATGTTTCTCTGTTCTGTCGTCTTTTCTATTCACCGTTTTGTTTGTCAGAGGAACAGTTATAGATACGACGCTGAAAACAATTAAAAGTCGAGTTGAATAAGCTCAATGTTTCGCATTGAACAGTGTGAACATCAACATGGAAGCTCACTCACTGTTCTTAGGTTCATCCGAGTCCTGATTCAGAGACTGGGAAAGAACCCAAAAGAGAAAAAGTAAATAAATAAAGGTAGCAGTAAATAAACAGCTGATTTAAGACTGAATATTTTAGTTTCAAATATGCCAGGATTCCTATGAAACCCTACGTAAGATCCTATAAGACCTTGCGTAGGATCTGATTGTATTCTGTGACAGGAAAGTATAGGATAAATCCAAGACAAAGAAGTCTTACGTCTTTCCTACAAGATCCTATATGGATTTGTTAGGATCCTACGTAGGATCTTGTAAGATCTTGTAGGATCCTATGGTAGGATTGTTTGACCTGAGTAGTGGTTAAAGGCATTTACTCGTAGAACGAGTGGCGCAGCTCGCTATCTACCAAGGTGATGGAGTTATTCAAGAAAACGACCACACGCCCTTCATTTTGGCGCCGATAATAGTTTAGCTCCCCATGTAGGCTAGCTAACGATCGACTGCGAATGCTTTGTTATTTTCTCACCTGAACTACTTAAAAAATCAGACAGAATTCGCAAGCACACCATATACATCAATACGCATTATGATCATCTATTGCTTACCGACATCAATTCTCAGCGAATGCGAATTCACTTCTTAGAAAAACAAATTCTCGGCGAATGGATATTTTCTAAGCTACGGCGGAAAGCACTATTCTCGTGGTAATTCTCAAAATTCCTGTAGAAAAGTAAAATTCTCGTGAAGAAAGTAATAAGGTCAGTCAGAATTCCTATGCAAGAAGCAGCTTCCTCGTGGCAGACAGTGAAATTCTCGTGGTAATTCTCGAAATTCCAGTAGAACAGTAAAATTCTCATCAAGAAAGTAGTGTGGTCAGTACAAAAGTAAAACTCCCGTGAGGATGGAGGTTCTATCTTCTTTTATAACCATAGCTCTTGTGTAGTAGAGTATAATTCTCGTGGAAGCATGGAAAATTGCTGTGGAAATGACTAAAATTCTCGTGGAGATGGACGTTCTGTCTTCTCCTATAACTAAAGTTCTCGTGTAGTAAAGTAAAATTCTCGTGGATGCAAGTAAAATTCTTGTAGAAATTAGCAAAATTCCGGAATTTAGAGAACTTTGTCTTGTTGTTATTTGTGAACTCTGTTCTGCTTTTAGCCAAGGGGAAAAATTCTCACGATGACGGGAAATTCTCGTGGAAAAAGTAAAATTTCGGAATTCATGGAACTCGGACACTGCTGCCAATTTCGGTCATTAAAAATACTAATTTACTTTCCATTTATATATCACTAAAATCCATGCTAGATATCCTACAACTGCCTCATAGGAAGGATTTGGCGCATATAATGCTTCTTAAATTTTTCTTTTCTCTGAAATTTCGTCCTCATGTCGTATCGGTTTTTTCCTTCTTTGAGAAACGTAAAGTCTTTCCACAGTACCTAACCCATAATTTTTCGCGTTCTCATGGTTTTAATTTAAATAATCTTGTAAATAGTCGAAAACAGATACACACATTTTCTCAAGTGGTGTTTCACTATGTTCATAAGTGTACGGATGTATTGTCAGATAACGTCCTTTTTTCACTGTTCAACGTGAGACAAGAAAGACGAGAAGAAAGAAGAAACCGTGAGACAAAGAAAGAAGAAACCGTGAGACAAAGAAAGAAAAAACCGTGAGGCAAAGAAAGAAGAAACCGTGAGGCAAAGAAAGAAGAAACCGTAACACAAAGAAAGAAGAAACTGTGAGACAAAAAAAATGCAGCTTTTTATTTTCAAAAATACCAAGTACGACTTTTCGGGGTATAAAATTTGTGTGTACAAAATGTGTAAAATTCCTGTTTTCAGTTTCTAACCGAATATTTTTTCTTTATATATTCATACAGGTGTTTGATCATCATTTGAAAATTTCAATCAGACTTCCACTATGTTTAAGATGTAATTTGAAGAAGAATCAACAAAACTAAATTTAACTTGATAAACTAATTCGAACTGGTTAAAAATTTAACTGATTTGAACTAATTTATCAAGTTAAATCAATTCAAATTGATTTTTAATCAGAAAAAAATTAATGTAAGCTAATTTAATATGAGACTGTTTTAAATTAGTTCGCATTAATTTCCAAAAGTTCCAATGGGATAAGATGAGCTCGTATATATGATTTAAGAGTAAAGATGTTGTTCATATTTTATAGATAGACAGAATCATCCTAATTAGCAAATGTGTATCAATTTTAGACAACAGTCATCAAGAAAATAACAAATATGAAGTAATTATTAAAAACAATAATTTATACTATATGGATGAGAGAATAATATGGGTGTTCGTTTAGAATAAGCAAAGTTGATTATGAACGATTAGATGGTAATGATAGTTATTATGATGATGATAATAGTAATAATAAATGTAATAAACACAAAGCAAACATTAGTCTTGTAAGATGTTAAATATAGGAAATGTCTGACCTTTTTATGCTTTTGTGAGTAATTTTTCTGTCTATAGTTTCGATTTGCTGACCGTCTAGACTATTTATTAAATGTTTGTGGTCTGTGTGTATCCATTTTTAACGGTGTCTGTCGGACAATATATCTAATCCTATTTGGACGTTTAGCGAGTGTATTTGTACAATATGTTTATCTAACATCGTCACCGTTGTGTGATTTAAATTTTATTGAATTGAATCAACATTGTCCATATGGTATCGAATTAAATCAATATAATTTCAACAACTATTACAAGTAAAACACTTCATATACATACATTTGTGTACTGTGTATTCAGTCTTTTCAAATAGATATTGCAATATCAGTCCACCATCACCTACATTGGAAACATTCGATAATTTTCATAGTCAAGTTTATCAAAAAGTATTCATTTTAATTGGTGAATAAACCTATATGTGGCTAACTAACAAACGTACAAATATTATATACTTATATTTATAGCTGTTGGTCTAGTATCATTTCTGTTGGCTTATTTACAACACTTATGTTTTAACATATCGGCTAAACGTCAAATAAACAATATACGAATTAAACTATTTCAAACAATATTGAATAAAGTAAATAATATAATATGATATGATACTGATGACGGTGTATCTGTTTCATCTTTATAGCATATGTCCTATTTTGATACACACAAAACTGGCGAACTGTCGACGTATTTGTTCGAGTAAGTTGTCCATATCTAAAATGAAGTGTATTTAATATGTGTGTATGTATGTATAAATATATAGATCAATCGATAAAATCCATGATGGTATCGGGTATAAATTATCATTTATCATTCAAATTGGTTCTACTGCTATATTTAGTTGTTTTATTTCACTGATAATAAATTGGAAATTAACGTTAATTATGCTCAGCGTGTTTCCGATACTTATTGGCGTATCATTTATATTTTCCAAAGTAAAAACCATCAAATATGTATAAAATGAAATTTAACACTTTTTGCTTTTGTTAATATAGCTAACTGCAAAAATGCTTATTAATGAATTAGAATCTTATTCAAAATCAGGCTGTATTGCACAAGAAGTACTCAGTTCAATTCGAACAGTTTTCTCTTGTAATGGGTCAAAATACGAGCTACATAGGCATACTACAGATACACATAAACAGAATTCTCTTGAATTCCTATATTCAATTTATTTAGATATGAACAACATTTGGATACAGCCAAAATAGCCAATAGAAGAAAAGGATTTGTGTTTGGCTGTTTCTTGGGTATACTCTATTTCAGTTTATATTTCGCACGTGCATTAGGACTTTATTTTGGAATAAAAATTACAAATAATGTGAGTGATATTCTTGTTGTACGTGCAAGCTATTTTATATAAACGAAAAGTGTATGCTTACTATATTTATATAATACAGGTGATTACGAGTATTGTTGATGGTGTTTTTTATTTTGGATCAATCGCACCGTTTACGCAATCAGTGATCGAGGTAATACTATGTCCAAAATGACCTAGACTTTCAACATAATTTATAATATATTGAGAGGCTGGCAAATAGTAAGTTCTTAGAAGTTACATAAAAACGACGGATATGTCCAAAAATGTTAAAAAGAAAAATATTAAACGATTAATACTAAAAATAGATTAAATATTTTTCTATTTGAACTAATAAATAATTTTCTTATTGTAAGATAGAAAAATATTAAAGTTTTCGCCTAGGATGAAAAATGTTAAATTGTGTTATTCCGATAGAAAAATATTTAATAAGGTGCAAAAATGGTCTACTTCGATCAAGTTAGCAAAGTTTGTTTCACACAGGTGACTAGGCTATTTGCTATTAACACTTACAGAGTGTCAACAAGATGCTATTGTCACGTTCGGAAGTATCATAAAGCTCATTAAGAAGCTAATGTTACTTTTTGAAGGTGCCAGCTAGAAGCTACTTCCGGACGAAGGAAGTAATGTCGCAGTTTGAATCTACCAAGAAGATACGAATATGCGGACAGGATCTGTTCTAGTATTATCTGGTCATGAAATTAAAGGTATTTGCAAGTATAAGTGCTGTAGAAATATGTATTGGTAGTAGTTGCCGAGCAAGTACTACAGCCGTAAGATGTAACTCCTGCTGTATCTAAGAAATCGAGAAATGTTTTTGCTTTCTTTTGCTATAAATAGTTTTTGCTCGGTGCCTGTCTAAGGATATAAAACAATAAAAACTTGTAATAACTTCTGTAGTCTCCACTCAAGTGTAGTCTCTATAAGGCAAGGGCAGTAGTTGCTCAGTAACTACTGATACTGTCTTACTGAGCTGGGATTTTCTTCGATGCAGACTGCAGCTATGAAAAGTTTTTGGCAAATAATCTCAGTTTTATCTTTATAGACGTCCTTACTCACGAGGGAACGTTTCCAACTGATAAATCGTTTTCGGGCCGAAACCTAGTAGACTATAGGTAGTCGAGCATGCTGATTCCGAATATCAACATGAGACGTGCTGCTAGGCCTCCAGCGACTGTTTTTGTAGAAAACCAGTTTTTCAGAAACTCCACAAAATCTCCCAAACCTTTCTTAATAAGTCACGCTTGTAGCGCGCGATATTCTGATTAAAATGAGACATCCCCCAGCTCCACACGACCTTTCTTTGCAAAGTTGTAGAATTTACGAGAAGAGCCCTATCTCCCGGCTCTTCGCGACCTTGTTTTACATAATTATAGCATTTACAAGAAAACCCCTAAATTACTTTCTTCTTATTTCTGCAGCTTTGAGCTGACAATGAACTCTATTAGGCTTTCTCTTATCTCAATATACTCTATCGAATGACGTATGAACGAACGAAATCAGAAGAGTTCACCGAAAAACGTTCCCTCGTGAGTAAGGACGTCTATAAAGATAAAACTGAGATTATTTGCCAAAAACTTTTCATAGCTGCAGTCTGCATCGAAGAAAATCCCAGCTCAGTAAGACAGTATCAGTAGTTACTGAGCAACTACTGCCCTTGCCTTATAGAGACTACACTTGAGTGGAGACTACAGAAGTTATTACAAGTTTTTATTGTTTTATATCCTTAGACAGGCACCGAGCAAAAACTATTTATAGCAAAAGAAAGCAAAAACATTTCTCGATTTCTTAGATACAGCAGGAGTTACATCTTACGGCTGTAGTACTTGCTCGGCAACTACTACCAATACATATTTCTACAGCACTTATACTTGCAAATACCTTTAATTTCATGACCAGATAATACTAGAACAGATCCTGTCCGCATATTCGTATCTTCTTGGTAGATTCAAACTGCGACATTACTTCCTTCATTCAGAATGAGATAAACCGGATAGAAAAATATTTAGTTGATTTTTAATACTAGTCGTTTAATATTTTTCTTTTTTTAACATTAGTCTATAGGCCCAAGAACGACGTACAGCAGGCTCCGCTTTAGGTACCGATTATGTTGCGTCAGCGTACAATTAGCACCCACATTCCTACCTCGTCCTTTTCTACTTCTTTTCTCGAGTTACGTTGGGTTGAGTTGCCATATTCGTAGTCAATATATAACACTACGTCTCTGGATCGGACTAAGTTGAGTCATCACGTCTGTCCAGCTGCAACTGACTACTGAATATCAGTTCTATATCTCTAGGTCGGATTAGCTTGCGTTGTTATGTATTTAATCTGCATTTACCTTAAGCATCTCTCGGTCGGGTGAGGTGGGTTGTTCTGTCTAGCAGTTGGCTGACTACAGAACATCAGTGCTAGTGCTATATCTGTGGATCGGATTAGGTTGGCTTGTCACGTGTGTCTGACAGTGTCTCACTGGTCAACAGTTCTATATCACTGGGTGGAGTTAGGTTGGGTCGTCTTGTCTTTAGTCCACATTTTTCACTAGATCTGTGAGCCCGGTTAGGTTGAGTCGTATAAGCATGAAAGAAAAAATGTTTCTTGTGATGCCTGCAGAAACTACTATGGCAGTCTGGAGATAATTTTCTCATGTTATATGCCGAATTATACATGCGAGATACGTCTTTGTATGCGGGACAACTGGAAAAACAATCGTTTGATATTGACTGATAAAACTTCATTTTGACGTGGAAATATCCGTCACGTTCTTCTTAAGTATTTTAGCTGTAATATGGGCACAGTCGAATGAGACATAGCTTTTCTATATGTGAATATTTTTTCACTCTTGTTTGAAATTCTAAATTCGTGGAAGGCAAACACGATAGAGATAAAGAATGTTCTTTCCGTTTTCTCGCATACGAAGATGTATCAGGCATGCAGAATTCTGTATGTAACATTAGAAAAATGCACTTATCCCCTATAAACAGACTCCGAGAAAATCTTCTAGAAGCTGTTGATATCGACAGATGTTTTATGGGTTTTGGTAGCAAATACTCTAGGCGATATGATCCTCCATTTATATCGAAACTAAACTCTTTTGAACGAAAATTAACTTTCTAGAGGTGCCAAGATCCGCTTTAATTAGTTTCTTTTTAATCCTATTGTTCATAGCTCATGCTGGCTCAATCTAACCCGACCCATAGATCTAGTACCATATTTTGACTACAGATGTGACGCCTCAACCTAACCCGATCCATAGATCTAGAACAGTTGATCACTAGTGAGACACAGCTAGATAGACTTGACGACTCACCCTGACCCACCATAGGGGCTACGGCGTATTAGGAATTGATCTGCGCCTTGCTGTTTTCAAAATTCTTAAGGGTCTAATCTTTGTATAAAGGTTTTTAAAGTACGAATTTATACTTACTCAACATGCTCTACAAGATAGACACAGTGATAACCACTCCGCTAAATGTTGTGTATAAACGAACAGAGCTGTGCGGAAACATCCAGATACATTATTTTTCTTTTGTATGGAATTTCAAGAGTTACGGTGCTGCACAAAAAGTTTGGTCAATCATCGATGACAATGGAATATACGTGCGTAATCGAACAAGTCATTTCATTTCTTTGTATTTTATTTGTTTTCAAGTCAATGGAAAATCAATGTGAAACAAAGTTTAATGACGGATTGACTAATTTTGGCAATAGTGACATAGACTTTGTTAATGTACAATTTTCATATCCTTCACGACCTACTGTGAATGTACTACGCAATTTTAATATGACTATTCGTCAAGGAGAAAAAGTTGCTTTGGTAGGACGCAGTGGTTGTGGTATGTTGACACATTTGTGTTTTTTCTTCTAAAGAAACGAACTACTGATTTTGTTTTTTCGTTGAAAAGGAAAAAGTACGTGTATTCAGTTGCTGCTACGCTTCTATGAGCCAACATCGGGAACAATTAGAATCGATGGTTGTCCGATTACAAAATACAACATCAAATGGCTAAGACAACAAATCGGCGTTGTTAGTCAGGAACCTGTATGTAGCATAGTTTTAGAAATAATTGTCTGTAAAATTTGAACATAAATATATATTGTATGTGTATTTTGTCCGTACAGATTCTGTTTGCCACAACAATCTATGAGAACATTCTCTACGGAAGTGACAATAAAAGTAAAATATCATTAAGCGAAATTCAAGAAGCAGCAAAAGAAGCAAATGCACATAATTTCATTATGAAACTGCCTAATGTGGGAGTATTCTACTAACACTTAATTTTATTTGTCGTTCATTATATTCTCTGAATTTTAGAAATACAACACGTTAGTTGGAGAACGTGGAATACATTTATCAGGCGGTGAAAAACAGCGGATTGTTATTGCGCGTGCGCTGATCAATAATCCGAAAATTCTTATATTAGATGAAGCAACGAGTGCTTTAGATAATGAAAATACATATCTTGTTCAAGATGCTTTGGATCGTGCATGCAAAGATCGAACAATCATCATAATTACACATCGTCTAACGACAATACGAAACGCTGATCGTATTTACGTTATCGACAAGGGACAAATAGTGGAACAAGGTACACATAATGAATTAATGTCAGATAATAGTGGACCATATTACAACTTGGTTCAAACACATATTATTGATGAGAACAATGAACCTGAACAGGAACAAGAAGATGAAAGTAAGCATGACGAACTAGTACATAAACTCTACTCGCATGTATGTCAGAGATTCGATTTTTCATCACATTTTAAAAGCTATAAGAAACACCCATCCACGCCGTATATCGTTCTCATCATGTGAAGAAAGTTTGAAGAACAATAATGACGACAACAGTGTAAGTCAGGTAATGAAAATATATATCTCAGATCCTTACTAATATTATTTTTATTGTGATAGAACCAAAAATCAAGACCTTTTTTAACATTATTGAAGCTAAATAGCCCCGAATGGTTTTATATATTGTGTGGCTGTTTTTTTTCTGTAGTCAATGGTTCAATGAATTTAATTTCAGCCATTATGTATAGTAAAACAATCGCAGTAATGAAATATCTATATGATTTTAATTTTCTGTTAATTTGTTACCGTGTTTCTATATATAGATATTAAAAACATGTACCAATAACAAAAGACAACAACAGAAAAATATTCTATTTTATTGTGGTATGTTTGCTGTACTGGCTGTTCTACTACTTGTTTTGAAAATACTACAAGTAAGAGTAGTCTTAGTCTATCTATCACAGTACAGTATAAGTAGACTAACTTGTTTCTTTTATTTTAGAATATATGCTTTGCTATATCCGGTTCAAATCTGACAAAACGTTTACGAATCAAATTATTTCAGTGTATGTTACAACAGGAGGTGGCCTGGTTTGACAAAGAAGAAAATTATACGGGCGCTCTGTGTCAACGTTTATCATCGGATGCATTAACAGTCCAAGATGTATGGATACTGTTTGACGAATATTACACAATCTTCTTTTCTGTTTTAAGTATACAGGAACACAGATTGGTATGATCATTGAAGTACTTTCAACATTTATTATCGGCTTATTAATTGGGTTTATATTCAGCTGGCAATTATCATTGGTTACTGTTTGTTTTATTTTACTTCTAAGTGCAAATAGTTATTTAGAAATACATTCAAGGAAAAAAATAAACACAAAACAAAATGTTCTATCAGAAAAAGCTGGAACGGTTAGCTAAGACGATCATACTCGCATATTATTTTTATTACCCGATCTATTACTTTTTATTAAGGCTTTGAGTTTTTTTTAGTTAGCAATTGAGGCAATTCAGAATGTCCGAACAGTTGTACAATTGACAAAAGAAGATAATTTTTTGTCAAAGTATTCGCTGTTGATACAACAATCGTACAAGTATGTTCGCAGTTAATTATCATGCAGACAAAAAAATTAAAAGAGATAATGTCCCATTACAGGAGATCACAGATGTTTCTACATTTATCGGCGTTTACATTTGCAATTACAATATCACAATCCTGTTTCATATTATCATTATTGTATTCATTGTCTGTCATACTAATTGAGGAAAATAAAATAAAATCTGAAAACATTTTGACGTAATATATATGACGTAGAGAAAGCGAATCGTCGACAATTCTCTACATTCGTCGACGATTAGCCACTCCATAAGAATCTGGCTGAAGAATGTTTAACTTCTTCGGGGAGTGTGGATAATCATCAGCACAAGGAGAGAATCGTCAATGATTCGCTTTCTCTACATTATACACAATTATCATATATATTTCAATATCCTGTTATCTTATTTAAAGGATTTTTACCTTTGTCTTCTTTACCACAAATGCAATTGAAATTTTTCTGTTACTGTGAGTCAACGGATCTGTTTGTTATTCATTTTTCTTTGGTTTGAGCCATGAACTTCATATATATAGGTTACAAGACATGGGCGGATCACTAACGGCAATACAAAGTTGCATGCATTTATTTGATCGACAACCGTCGATTAATAATTGTTCAACACACGGCAAGACAACTGTATGTTTTCTTCATTGTGTAGATTGAATATGACTTTTATTTATTTGTTAAAGGCATATTTCAATGGTGATATCCAGTTTGATTCTGTTCAATTTCGTTATCCTGAACGTCCGCAGGCAATAATTCTAGATAAATTTCAATTAAATATTGAACACAGGCAACGTATAGCTCTAGTTGGTGAGAATGTCATCACTATGAAATATGAGAGCACTTAAATGTGTTTGTGATTGCGAATTTCAGGACCAAGTGGCTGTGGAAAATCAACAATTGTACAGCTCATCGAACGTTTCTACGATGTCAACAAAGGAAATTTGGTAAGTTTTGGCATTATCAGTCATCTGTTGAGTAAAAGAATAACATTCATTTCAATAGTATATTGATGGATATAAAATAAGTGATTTAAATCTTCAATGGTTAAGATCTGAAATCGGTCTAGTGTCACAAGAACCAGTTTTATTTGATTTGAGCATACGCGAAAATATTGCTTACGGTCAAGACGAAGAAACGTCCACGATGGATAAAATAATTCAAACAGCTCGTATAGTCAATATACATGATTTTATTCAATCATTGCCACAACTGAATATAACTCTTCTACTTTTTCCTAAACTTTGCCTCTTTCTTTATTTCTTCATTTTGAAGGGCTACGATACTAATGTGGGAACGAAAGGAACACAGCTGTCGGGAGGTGAAAAACAACGGATTGCCATTGCTCGTGCACTTCTTCGTAGACCAAAAATTTTATTATTAGACGAAGCAACAAGTGCAATGGATAGACAAAATGAAACGGTTTGCTATTTTTCGTGCTGTATTACCGGCACGTGAATGATACTGTTCAGTTGTTTTAGATTGTACAGCAAGCGCTTGATCATGCTTTAAAAGAGCACAATTGCACAACTATTACCATCACTCACCGTTTATCAACAATTGAGAACTATAAGCTGATTTATGTCATGAACCAACAAGGTCGGCTCGTGGAGCAAGGAACACATCTAGAATTGATGAACAAACGTGGAATCTATTATAACTTGGCACTGACTAATCTATAATTTGGCCACATGAAATGTAATATTCTAATAAATTAGAAAAATTCAGCTAAAAAGACATTTAAACAATAATATAAAGATAAAAAATAGATACCCAATGGACTTTTTTATACAAAAAATTTCCTTTGAAGGTATTAAAATCGACATTTTGTACGTTTAATATGTGTGAACACATTAAATAAATTAAAAAAGATTTTAACGCCTTCGCATAGAAAGTTAATGTATTTTGGAGCCTTAACTATTTTAATTTTTCTGATGCACTTTTACAGATTCAACGTCTCCGAATGCCTTATTAACCACTTCTTACGCCTTATTAACGCACTTAAACTTCTTACATTTTTTCACACGTTCAAATGCATTAAAAAAGTTTTTGCTCCGTTTAACGAAGTCACATGTATTCCGATTAGTTTAATGTTTTCACACGCCTTAAAAAGTTAATATGTACAAATGCATGAAATCGTTTAATGCATTCGAATGCATTAAAACTGTTTTTCGTAAATTTAATACGTTCATAGGTTTTAAGAGCGGCCTATTGAGTGCAGAAGAGTTAAAAATTAATTCATGTGAGCGCATTAATGCTTTTTCGGACGTTTAAGGGTACCCCTCCCCTCTTTTTGGGCTTTCCGTAGAAATGCTGTGAAATAAAAACTAAAAGTCGCTAGGGCTTCGTATTTTCAGAACTGATCGGAAACTCAATGGAGCACTTTTTCGTTCTTGTTTCAAGTTTTGAAGTATTACCGTTCACCAGTTTTTCAGAAAACTCGGTTTTTCATTGTGCCACATTACGACCCCCCTTAAATTTCATCGGATCGCG